AGAGAGAGAGAGAGAGAGAGAGAGAGAGAGAGAGAGAGAACCTGCAAATTTGAATGTAGTTTCCTTTTATCTTCTTTGCAACTGATAGCATATTTTGATGATAGGATATTTTCATTTATTTATATGTCAAATTTGTCACCACCCATCTTGTTAAAAAGTGACTCTGGGTGGTTTACAGAGGAGATATAACAATTAAAATACAATATAAAAACAGTCTTAAAATAAAAAATAAATTCCAAGAATGATGGGATTGGCAAATAGTTCAGGGAGTGACATCAGGGGGCCAGCCACCCCCAGGATTGATTAAAACTCTTATTACCTCATGCAAGCTGGCAGAACCAGGTCTTAAGTCCTTTCTGGAAAACTGGGAGGGAAGGGGCCCGCCGCACCTCTGGGGGAGAGTATTCCATAGGGTGGGGGCAACAGCAGAGAAGGCTCTCCTCCTGGGCCCCACCAGCTGACATTCTCTTGCTGACAGGTTCCACAACATGCCCTCTGTGTCTGACAGGGTGGGATGGGTGATGTGATGAGGATGAGACAGGCCCTCAGGTAACCTGGACCTATGACATGTAGGGCTTTAAAAGTGATAACCAACACCTTGAATTGGACCTGGAAGCAAACTGGCACAGCTCCCACAACAAAGGTGTAATATTTGCCATCCTTGGGGCACCCAAGATTGTCCATGCAGCCACATTTTGAGCCAGCTATAGCTTCCAGATACCCTTCAAGGGTAGCCCCATGTAGAGTGCATTGCAATAATCTAACTGAGAGATGACCAGGGCATGAGTGACTGACTGGAGAGCCTCTGATCCAGGAAGGGGTGTAACTGATGCACAAAGGTGGGCAAAGGCCCTCCTGGCCACGACTGCTACCTGGTCCTTGAGCAGGAATTGTGAGTCCAGGAGGACCCCCAGATTATGCACTGGGTCTGTATGGGACAGTGCAACCCTGTCCAAAACCAAAGATGTAAATTCCCGGATACAGAGGGACCTCCAATCCACAGCCACTCTGTTTTACTAGGGTTCATCTGAAGCCTGTTGCACCCCATCCAGACTCCCACAGCCTCCAGGCACCACAAAAGGGTGATCATGGCATCGCTCAAGTCACCTGAGATGGAGATGTATAACTGGGTATCATCTGCATATTGATGATATCTCATCCCATGGTGGCAGATGATCTCACCCCGTAGTTTCATGTAGATGTTGAAAAGGAGTGGAGAAAGTACTAAATATTAAGCTTAAAATTAGTAGCAGTCTAGTTTAACCCTCATAGAAGATAGAAGCCCTGGAAGACATGGGGAGTGAGGCTGGATTCCTTAATCTGAGATTGTGAAGGCTCCCTGTCTTCTGCAACAGTTGGTTTAGACAATTCTCTCTGCTTCTCATTTACAAACTGTACATTTAAAAATATAACTAATATATGCTTCTTAGATTAAAAGAAGCCAGTAGCAACAATGACTCTGGGAAATATTCACCTTCCGTTTATAAGAATAACTACAGGGCTGTAATAGCTGTTCCATATTTTCTCTGCCTGAAACCATAGCAGGATGAAACAGAATGTGACACTGAGCCCAGGGTGCTATCAGATTAGCTATAGAGATACTTCAGATGCAAAAGGAAAAGAGATAATTTGATTGATCCGATATTACTTGATGAGCTAAGTTGAATAATATGAATTGATACTCTTCATTAAAATCACTTTTTTTACACAAAAACTGTGAAACAGAGAAGAAAGTGTTGGTAGAGAAACTGAAGTTGAAACAGTCCTGAATTGTTTTTCCAGTAAGCCATCAATGTGGTTCTTCAGTATTTATGGAGTCATTTCTAAACCAATTTATTGGCTACTATTTGTATCTATTTGTCTTAATGACACTGAAAGTTTCTGGCCAGAAA